TGTTTTCCTCAGATTACAAAAATCATCATATATTGGGAACACATCTCCTGGATATTCCTAGGGACACTAACTAAAAGAAAACATAATAACATTGGTCTCAGTAGATATGAAATGGGATGCTGCTACCAAGAAAGAGTAAATATTTACAGGTCTGTTTTTGTCTCTCAAGAGTTTAGGGAATTAAAGTTTTCCCTTGATGAACTGATTCAAGACAGATTTCAGGGAGATAACATGGGCAGGAAGGAGCAGGTACAAACTTAATGGAATAAAATTTTGATTCAGGAATTTAGTAAGTAGTGTTATAACCCTAAAAGACACAATAAATAAAAAGGCAACAACTAACATAGATAAATCTACAGACAGAAGCTGTAAAGCAGGAAGAAAAAGGTTGATACTATTTATCTGAAACAATTTTATGTTCCTCTCCTATAGTCTTTAAAATTCTGTAAAAATTCTCCAGCTAGACAGAAATGGAATACAGTTGATGATTTTTTTGTTTGTTTTTGTTTTGAGACAGGATCTCTCAACATAGCCCAAACTGGCCTCAATGTGCAATCCTACCTCAACAGCCCAAGTGCTGGAATTACAAGTGCACATCACCACACCTGGCTCCAATTCATTTTGTAAAAGGTATTATTCTACTCCTTCCCAAATAATAGATTCAGTTTGCTAAATAATCTAAAGATTATACCAATTTATTTCCTATAACCCTAGGTTTCTGAGCCCAATACTCAATAGCAGTCTTAGCTAGAGTTTATAACTGACCACTGTTTATTTTCTATTACTTTAAGGAGAGTGCTTCAAGAATCACAGATCAAACTCCCCTCTGTGGAAAGCAATCACTTATTAAACTAAATTGACCATTCTTTTTTTTTTTTGGTACCGGGGATCGAACTCGGGTCCTTGCGCTTGCGCAGCAGGCAGCAAAACCACTGAGCTAAATCCCCAGCCCTAAATTGACCATTGACCATTCTTACTACTGACCCCAGGAAAAAAAATGGGTCATATTATTAATAGATTCTAAATCTATTCTAAATCTAAATCACTATTTTTATGGCCTAAAAAAAGATACTGTGCCTTTATCAGGAATAATTATTTTATGCTTGGTGTGGTAGTACATGCCTGTAAATCCCAGTTCTTAGGAGGCAGAGGCAAGAGGATCGAAGCAAGTTCAAAGCTAGCCTGAGTTCAAGGCCAGTATGAACTACATAGCAAGACCCTGTCTCAAAAAACAAACAAATAAAAATATAAAAATTAAAACAAAACAAAAAAGCATATTTATTGTGTATGTGTAATAATATATAATGTTGGAGCAGGGTGCGGTGGCACACACCTATAATCCCAACACTCTTGAGAGGCCGAGGCAAGAGTATCACAAGTTTCAATGCAGCTTGGGCAATTTATCGAGATCCTATGTTAAAAAATAAAAAAAGGCTGTACATGTACCTCAGTGTGAAGGCCCTTCCCCAATCCCCAAAAAAAGAAGACGAAAAAGAATTCTGGGACTTCAATTAATTCGTTTATTTGTGCATTTAACCAGATGCAGATCTATTTCTTAAAGAGAATCCTAGGTCTGAATCACTGAATCAGAGTAAATTTCTTAGCCCACCTGTATGCTGAACTGAGTTGTCTATTTCACACACCTATTTGTGCTCCTTTATTTAGGCTCCTTTATTTTTTTAACCTCATTTTAGCTACTCAATTGATTTTTCAAAGCACATAGATTCCACCCTTAGCTGGTAACATGGAATATTTGCATTCCAAGGCAGATATGACCTTAATTCTTCAGTGTACAGAAACTGAGTTCTAGAAAAACACACTGACAGTCAACCTAAGTAATAAGATATGAATATTCACATTCCAGTACAACTTCTAAAAAAACTTTTATTATCTAAATACCAGTATGGTTATTTTTTATATTTTAATGATTACTGTATGCAAAAGAATCTCAAAAGAATTAATATAATAAATTATGATGAATATCACTGGGCATGGTGGTACAAACCTATAATCCCAGCACTCAGGAGACTGAGGCAGGAGGATAGCTGCAAGTTCAAGGCCAGCCTGGGCTTCATAGTTGAGTTCAAGGCCAGCCTGAACTACATAGTGAGATCCTGTCTCCAAAAAAACCAGCATCAAATAAGGTGTAATATATATAAAGATAATAACAATAAAGTAGTAGTGATGGGCCTAATTCCCGAGGGATATTAAATAACAAAGAGGAAGATCACAAATTTAAGCTAAGAGACTTTTCCCCCCAAGAACCCAACCCTGTATCTGGCAGCTCAACTTTGATGTATCAGCTGAGTCCTCCTCTTATAGAACCAGACGAAATAAATTTCAGATTTTTCCCCCCACAAACAGCTTCTCCATGCTGCATCCAGGAACCCCTTTCGGAGCATATATGTTAGCCTTATATAAACCAAAACCCTCTTTCTTCTCTGCTTACATCTGACAAATACTCTAACCCACCACGGCCCAAGTATGTTGGTTAGCACCACACCTGATGACTGTGAGCTGGATTCCTGAGACATACAATTCCACTCAATCTCCAGAAACTGAAATGCCAAGTGTTCCGGTAAGTTTATCTAATTCTAAGTAAGTGTTTTTAAATCTCTGATTCCTCCTTTCTTGGAGTGGGGAGGATGCTAAGCCTCATTCATGCTAAGCACATGCTCCTACCACTATGCTACACTACATCCCCAGCTCTGAATCTCTGACGTTTTTGGTTAGTTTGCAGGTCACATATGGAAGTTGGTCCCTCCCTATAATTCTTTGAGAATTAGATAATGCTAAGAAATCTCAAGAGTATATATTTCTTGGTAACTAGATGCTAAAAGGAGAACATGGGGGCCGGAGATATAGCTCAGTGGTTTCGCCACCTGCTGTGCAAGGACCCAAGTTCAATCCCAGTACCAAAAAAAACAAAACAAACAAACAACAACAAAAAAAACAGTAGGTGCTAAAAGGAGAACATGATCAATAAGGATTATCTGGAACTAAAACAGGTAGGTAGGAAAAAGATACACTGATATCTGAAAAATTGTAACAAAGCTGACAGGTTACGCTTTCCAAGAGTGAATGCCATTACCTTTTCAATAAGATTATCCAAATTCACCTACAGTGCCAAGATGTGCTATTATGTACAGTGCTTAACTGATATTCTTTAATGTTAAAGGAGAAGAAAATATGTATTAACAGAAGTCAAAATGCTTTTAATTCAAAGGTGATTCTCTACAGCCACCTTAGTTGGATGATGTAACAGGTACTCCACCATCTCAATGAATAATATATACTACCCTTCCTTGATTGCAACAAATGTGTCCCTTTAAAAAGAGAGGGTTGGGGTCGGGGATTTAACTCAGTGGTTCAGGCATCTGCCTCACAAGCACAAAGTCCCGAGTTCCATCCCCGTTACCAAAAATAAATAAGTAAATAAATACATAAATACATAAATAAATAAATAAAGTAAAAATAAAAGAGGGGGTTGGTGGCAGAAGGGAATCACTCAGGCATTCAGGGTTCAAGCAGGCCCAGAAAACATATTGAGATGTAGGTGGCTTCTTGGTCCAGGGGTATGATTCTCTCTTCAGGTGTGAGAAATGTGAATGGTCACAGCAAGTTAGTGAGCCAAAGATATAAACAGAATTACCCATAAATGGAAAAACTTTATATGTATCTGGAATTGGAAACTGGACTATGATCGACATGATTCAGGTGAATTAAAATTTAGTGGCTTTTTAAAATGGCTAAATTATACTGAGGGGAAAAGGAGTAATTTTTAAATCTGTTTATTGGGGAAACGAATTCCTGTATGTATTGTAAGAGGTTTGTTCAGTCTGAAAAGCTTCATTTTTTTCTTTTGGGAACTTGGCTAACCTGGAGATTACGTGTCTCTGAACTATTAAGAGAAAAAAAAAGAAAAACCTTCCTATGTTAATGGGAAAGCCTTAGTACTAGATAAAATTTATAACACTATCAAAAACAATTTCTAGTATAAATTATTATTTTAAGGAATTACACTGGACTCAACTTACAAACTCAATTCATTCCACAGTCCTGGTTGTAACTCAAATTGTCAATTGAAGCTCAGGCTCCTCTACACAGCCTTCAAAGTCTCTCTCCTGTACACAGACAGACCTCAGTGTCCTTAGAGAGATGCTGGCCCAAGATCTCTCAATGAAGCCCATACAGGAAACAATGCTGTAAGGTTCCTTCCAGAATTCTTTGAGGGTTAAATCTGTATCTGAGACCATCTGGAAGCACAAGTGGCTGGCATTCTGGTCATAACTCAAGACTTTGGTTATAAATTAAAACTAAAATTCCGGTCATAATCCAAGTCGTTTGTATGTCAGGCTGGTCATAACTCACTGTAATTCCTATATTGTCATATTCCATGATGCTTTCCCCATTTCTTATTCAAAAGCAAGTAAATTTTGAAAGTGTTCTTAGATAAAGGACTTCTCATAAATATTTTCAACTATATAAATCAGCATTAGAGGGTGCTGAAGTTTGTCAATAGCTAGTTCTCTGTTGAGCTACAGACTACTAAGGACTTCCTTTGTGTAATAAAATGGTAGTGTTAGATGTTAATGTAGTTACTGTAATTGCAGGGAGGGAATGGGTACTGGGGATTGAACCCAAAGCCACAGAGCCCTTTTTTTTAGTTTTTGTTTTTGAGATAGTCTTGCTAAGTCACTAACTTGCCCAGGTTGGACTCAAGCTTTTGATCCTCCTTCCTCAACCTCCCAGACAGCCAGGGTCACATGCACCATCACATCTCTGACCGGAATGCCATAATGGCTATAATTTCATCTGCTCCACTAAAAATCTAGTCTAATTTATCCATAAACTATCTTGCAGCACTTTAAAGAATATACTCCATATTACAAAAATATGTCATCAAATATCCTCTCTTTGTTTTCCTAAGTCTTAGCAAACAGATACATGATCTTTCAAACCAAAATACTATAAAGTTAATCCAATTTAAAACTGCTTACCATGATACCACCATTTTGTTTTCTTTGGATTCTTGTTACATGTTCGCACATAGAAAGAATTATCTGGTGGTCGTCTCTGAAACCGAAAGAAAACAACAACAACAGAATAGTTTAAATAAGAATAAGGGTCTAAAATAGAATAACTAAGGGAGATCGTTTTAAGCAAAATCACTACAGAATTAAACATATTCAACCCCAGCAGCAATGCTGAAAAATAAGAACCATTAACATATTCTGGGAAATCCAAACTTTTAACACTTAAAGTGTTTTTTTGTTTTTTGTTTTTAGGGTGGGGGTGTAGGGAGATATGTGTGTGCTCTGGATTGGGTTCTAAGAGAACATGGAGAATAATCATCAACCAAATGGGAGAAAACAAGATAGATGAAGCCAAAATTCTTTACAGCCTATCTCCCTTCAAGTAATTTAATAATTACTTTTGTGAACTAATTAAAACAAAAAAGTAGACCTAACTAAAGCTTGTCTGAAGAACCAGAATAGTTTACAAACCTTTACAAGGCCTAGGAGTGTAGTTTAGTGGTACAAAGCTTGTCTAGTATGCACCAAGGCCCTTACTTCTATCCCCAGCACATTGTCAGAAAAAAAAACAAAAGAAGAGCCTCCTGGTGGCACATGCCATAATCCTAGGGCTCTGGGAAGTAAGGATTGCAAATTCAATCCCAACCTAGGCAAGTTGCAGCATTAGTGAGAGCCTGTCTTCAAAAGAAGGGGCTGGGGCTACATGTGGGGACGTAGCTCAGTGCAAACACCCTGGGTTCAATTCCTAGTCCTGCAAAAAAGAAAAAAGAAACACATACACACTTTTAATACATCATTTAAAAACAGATCAAAAGATTCAGGGGCCGGGGATTTAGCTCAGTGGTTCTGCCGTCTGCCTTGAAAGCTCAAAGTCCCAAGTTCAATCCCCGGTACAAAAAAAAAAAAAAAAGATTCAGGTACACACACACACTGGGGATTAGACTGAGGGTCTTTGCAGTGAGGTCCAACGGCCTCTTTTTTTTTTTTGGAAACAGGGTCTTGCTAAATGGCTAATTTGCCTAGTCTGGGCTTGAACTTCTGATCCTCCTGCCTTAGTTTGCCAGAGTGCTGGTATTAAGGTGTGTGCCACCACCCTCAGTTTCAGTTTCTAAACTATGTACAAAGATACATATTAGCACTTCTACCATACCTTGGCCTGTCTGTTATTTATATGCCCTGATGAACACAATATGAGAAACACTGGGCAGTTCTGTAGGGGAAGGAGACCAGGAATACTGATGTCAACAACACTAAAGGCAGATGATAGAAGAGGCTTTTCCTAACCAGAAATATGTGACTTCCTACAAGGATGTGGTAACAAGTCAAATTTATAATAAAGCCACAAAAGGAAGACTGGTAGACCATATGACAGACAATCTCATCTGTTTCCTTTCTGTCTACTTTCAGAATTATTCTAACAACTTGATTTTTTTCCCACTCTTAAATATTTTCGTAATATTGAGCTTAAATTAACTGTTGAGTAAACAAATGAAGATGAAAGGTTTACAAAATCCTTTCCTCAATGAGACTAATGAGAACTAATTTAAATAAGGCCCAACAAGAAAGCAAGGGTGAGTAGGACTTCCTAGATAGCAGGAAGGAGAGCACTCTATCCACTTGGTACTTCTAAAACTTAAACACATAATTAACATCTTGACTGAGCCTCGTAATGGCCTTATAAGTTCATAGTTATTTCATTTTTTAAAAAAGAACATTAGAGCACAAGGTGTTAAACAACTACAGTATATAAAGATTAATCTATAAATACAATTTGAGAAAATTCCTGAAAAATATGAAATTATATGTATAATTACTTTTATTTCCTCTTCATTTGTGTAATCTAGCACTCAGCAGAGTAAAAACAGCAAGTACCTAATATACTTTTTCTTGAAATTTATCATATTTCACAGAGATTCTGACTTCCAGATTATCATCACCTTAAACATATTATACTAATTATTCTATTACAAATACAGTTTACCAAAAATGTAAATGGAATGATTTTAGTGTTGTACCAAATATATAAGAAACACTAGAAGACAACTAGAATGTGAGGAAAATGGAATAGTCAGGGTCACAAAGGATACAAGAGGTACAGAGAACACAGTCATGCTCTGGTTTGTGATACGAAATCACTATATTTAAATGAAAATATGAAGTAATAAATAAGACTTACTTCCAAAACCTTAAGAGACAATAAAAACTCAAAGCCAGGGCTGGGAATTTAGCTCAGTGCCGCCACACCTGTCTCCCAAACGCAAGGTCCTGAGTTCGATCCCCGGTACCAAAAAAAAAAAAGGAGAAAAACTCAAAGCCTTAAAATGCAGCTTTAAAAAACCCTCAGAAAAGAGGAAACTGAAGTTAAAAAGTGGTATTAATATTAGATGTATGGGGCCAGGGATCTAGCTCAGTGGTTTCACCGCCTGCCTCGCAAGCAGAAGAACCCGAGTTCGATCCCCAGTACCAAAACAAAAAAGAAAGTAAGTAAAAAATATTAGAAGTATGTATCTCTTTTTCATCTAAAATGTATTGGTTTCTGCACATTTTAATATTCCTGAATAGGGACATGTGCCTTTAAATTAATTGTGTCATGGTTTAGTTGCTAATTTTTTCTTTCATGTATAAAATTTGCATATTAGGGCCAGGAATTTAGCTCAGTGGTTCCGCTGCCTGCCTCAAAAGTGCAAGGTCCTGAGTTCGATCCCTGGTACCAAAAAGAAAAAAAAATTTGCATATTAAGGGCTCATAACCCTACAATTAAAAAAATACAATTTACTCACTTATTTCCTATTTGAACAAAGAACTCTTTTGATTTTTATACTGAACACCAAGAAACCTCTTACGTCTTATGGACCAGACATGCCAAGAAATTCGGTGAAATAGTGGCTTAATGTGTTTCAGATTCCAAATAACATATCATTTAAAATATGAACTATTATCATAAAGGTTCTCTAAATACTAATTTAATAAATACAGCAGACTGCTCAGCACTTTGGGAGGCTAAAATAGGAGCTCAAGTCCTGCCCGGGAAAATTAGCAACTTAGTGAAATCCTGTCTCCAAAAATAGGAGAGGCCATGGATGCAGCACAGTAGTAGAGTGCCCATGGGTTCAACTCCCAGCACCACAAGTATAAATAAATAAATAGAAGTCAGTTTGAGTTGGAGCATATAGGAAAAAAACTGCTAAATACACATGCACACATACAGCTCTCTAAAGCAAATTTGTTTCTCCTGTGAATAATACAAAAGAAAGCCTCAGGAAAAAGGGAGGCTTTAAAATGTAGAAATAATCAATATTGTACCACACTAGTCCTCAAACAGGAACAAAAGACCAGAAAGATGGAGAATTCATGTATCTTTAAAAGGTATCCTAAATTTAACTCATGCAATTTTTCATTCTGGTCTTCTTTTTTTCCCACCTTCATCAGACATAGTATCTGTGGATTTAAAAAAGTAGAACAGGAGGAAAAGCCCTGAAACTTCTACTGGTAAGTGGTTTTCCTCCTTCCACATAATCATTCAGTTAAGAAAATTCTTGTTTCTGGGGCATCCTCTAAAAAGCTGATAGGATGGGAGCTGTCAAAGAAAGGAAAGAGAGGAGCTACATTGCCTGTTTCTAGGCCTCCAACTGCAAAGTCTAGAAAAAAGGAATTTTTTAAAA